TTTGTTCAGTATACAAAGGTGAATTTATTGGCCATGGTGCTTCAACCCACAAAATTGTAAGTTAACATATGCTATATCTGACCACACCTATACAACAATCACAAAACCAACAACTAGCGCCCGACAACATCCATTCCGTGCATTCATTGCAAATAGCTAGGGGATTATGACACAACTCACTAAAAAGGGTCCCTCAATGCCCTGACGTTTCCCATTCATTCAATCCATTCCATTCCCTACTTAGTGCGCTCTATCTCATTCATTTTCATTTTCTGATATAGATAAAAAGGAGTGGTTCACAAATATATATATATATATGTTCATGTTCAACCGAACACATTAGGATTTTGCATAAAAGAAAAGATAGAGTAGTTTACCTAACACAGCACTAAAATTGCAATGTTACCTTTACATTCTTATTAAGGATATTTAAAAATTACTTTTTTTTTCTTATCCTAAATTGTATATAAAAGATAATTGTTTCTCATTTTTTAACACATCTAATTCATATGTTATACGACTTAAATTTAGAATAATTTATTTTTACTAAAAAAAAATTACTACTAAATTACTTGCATTGTTAGCCAATTACAATTTTTAAAATTGCAGTTAAGGAGGAATTGGGGTTCCACTAGAGGCGAGGATACATGGGGGTTTGGTTTGAGTATGCAAGGATACATGGATTCACACTGAGATAGGTGACATTGATGTTATCACAGAAGATATCGAGAGAAGCCGAAACAGGGACCTCTAGTTCCGAGAGCAAATTGCGAACCCAGAGAAGTTCAGATGCAATGGCAACTAAGGCTTGGTATTCCGCTTTTGTAGAGCTACATGCAATAGCCTTTGGCTTTGTGGCATGCTAAGAAATAGGATTAGACCCAAGAAAAACAATATAACTAGCGGTAGAGACACAAGTAGCACGATCGCCAGCCTAATCAGCATTCGAAAATGCATTCAACAAAAGGGAAGACTGAGGGCACAAAAGCAGACCATGACAAGAAGTACCTTTTAAGTAGTGCAACACATGCTTGGCGACTTGCCAATGAGTATCTGTGGGACAATGCATAACTGAGACAATCGGTACAAAGGAGATGTTGGGACGAGTAAGAGCCAAGTATTGAAGAGAACCAACCACTCGTCGATAATCGATGCCATCAGAGAGGGCCATGCTAATAGAATTGAGAGAGGATGAGAAAAAGCCATAGGTGTAGAGATGGGCTTAACATCAGCCATTCCGGTTTTGTGTAGGAGATCTGAGATGTACCTTTGTTGGGATAAAAATAAGCCGGTTGTGGTGTTGATGGCCTCTACACCAAGAAAATAGCTAAGAGGGCTGAATTCTTTGAGAGAAAAGCGAGTGCCCATGCGCTGAACCAAGCATTGGATGGTAGGAAGATCACTACTAGTGAGAATGATGTCATCCATGTAGACCAAAAAATAGATCACAGTAGAATCCTTGTAAAGAATAAACAATGAGGTCTCAAGGTCCCGTTTGGTATAACGGTTTTGGGATAGCAGTTAGCGGTTTTACCTACATCGCTAAATATAGGTGTTTGGTAAATTTACATATTTTGAAACCGTTATAAATAAAGTGTTTGGTAAAATTTTTATTTAGCGGTTTGAGATTAGCGGATAGCAGTTAGAATCCAAACCGCTAACAAATTGAAAAAGTTAGTTTATATAACTTTTTGTACCAAACCACTAACAGATTAAAATTTTTTAATTTAATTAATAAATTTATCCATTTTAATTTTTTAATTTGTGGTCACATTTTTAATTAATAATTATCTAATAAATTTCAATTTTATTTTTTGACCTTTAATAACATTAAGTAATTATAATATTTTTTTGTACATTAATTTATAATTAAAAAATATATTATCTTAAAAAGCAAAATTTGTTAATTAGACAAAATGATTCATTTTTTATTTAAAAATAATATACTTTAAAAAAAAATAAAAATGAGGGTATAATTACATTATTATAATTAATTTTATTTTTTTTATTATTTTTATAAAATTAATAATTTTAATAATAAAAAATAAAAATATTTTAAAAAATATATTTATTTGTTTTTAAACATGTCCTTATTAGTCATTTAATGTTAAATAACAACCGCTAACCATTGTATAACCAAACAGTTATATTTATCAAATCCGTTATTTATCATCTGCTACCCACTTTTCGCGATCCGCCATCTGCTATCCGCTAACCGCTAATCACTACCCGCTACCCGCTACCCTCTACCCGCTACCGCTATCCACTATTCGCTGAATTTTAACCGCTATACCAAACAGACCCCAAATTTAGAATTATGAAAGCCCTCAGACAGAAGAAATGCCTTAAGCTCCTTATACCATGCCCGTGGAGCTTGTTTAAGCCCATAAATTGACTTCCAAAGCCTACAAACATGAGTGGGTTTGTTCGGATCTACAAAGCCCACAGGTTGTTGCATAAACAATTCCTCATCAATTTTACCATAAAGAAAAGCATTATTAACATCTAATTGCTGGATAGGCCACCCACGACTAACTGCAAGAGATAAAATTGTTTGAATAGTAGTAGGCTTAATAATTGGACTGAAAGTGTTAAAATAATCAGAACCTGGTCTTTGATGAAATTCTTTAGCCACCAAGCGTGCCTTATAATGCTCAATATTGCCATACTGATTGCACTTCAGCCGAAACACCCATTTAGAACCAATGATATGCTGGCTTGGGTGAGTAGGAACTAGGTCCCACGTTCCTTGACGAACCAAAGCACTGAACTCCTCAAACATGGCCTTTCTCCAATGTGGATCTTTTAAGGCTTGAGTTGCACAGGTGGGCTTAACAGGGATGGTAGAGGCAAGTTTAGAGGACTGAAAGAGTGCTTTGGTTTGAAAATATTATTTTGAGAACGAGTAGTCATTGGGTGGGTACGAACAGGTATAGCTGGGGCTTCATTTGTAGAAATTTGGGTTGTGGAAACTTGCTCAAAGGAAGTGGAGATAGTGTCCGTGGAAACTAACTTAGATGGACTAGAATTGGGTGTGGATGGTGGAGGTAGTGATTCTAGCTAGGTTGGGCTTAATTAGGGTTGAAGGGTGGAAACTGGGAGAGGAGAAGAAGATGATGGCGGAAGATCCGGTGCAGAAGGGACTAGTGTCGCGGTCGAAATATGAGTGAGGGGTTTAGATTGCATATGGTAGATGGGTGGAACTGGCACTACATGTAGATCTTGAATTGGGAATTGTGTAGAAGGAATAGGACAAGAAAAGAAGTCATAGGAAGAAATTGTGGAAGTATGGGAATTTTGAAATGGGAACTTAGACTCATTAAAAACATGTCAAGAATAAAAAATTTTGTTGGACTGCAAATCAAGGCATTTATAGCCTAGATTTTTAGTCACATAGCCCAGAAAAAGACAAGGACGAGACCAAGGTTGAAGCTTCTTGTTATTTTATGGACGTAACCAGGGATAACAAAGACAACCAAAAATACGTAATTTTAAATAATTGGGTTTAATGTGAAACAATTTTTCCAGGGGTGATGTAGAAGACAAAACTAGTGTAGGAAGACAATTAATCAAGTATACTGCTGTTTGAAAAGCAAAAGACCAAAATTTAGGAGGTAAAGAAGCAGTGTGTAAAAGTGTAAGTCAAGTTTCGACAATATGACGTTCAAAAATTCCATTTAGTTCAGGGTGTATGGTAGGTTAGTAAAATTAAAAATTCCATGGTGAGAAAGAAAATCTCGTAAGACCATATATTCACGTCCTCCATCAAAGTGGAAGTTCTTGATTTTATGTCCAAATTGAGTTTCAATAGGTCTTTTAAAACAAGGGAAAATCAAGGCAACCTCAGACTTTAGTTTTAATGGGTATAACCAAATATATCGGCTGAAATAATCAATGAACAACACAAAATATGTGTACCCATCATGGGAAGTGAGTGGGGAAGGTCCCCCCACATTAGAGTAAATATGCTCAAGAGAAAGATTGCATGTAATAGATGAATTTGAAAAAGAAAGTTTATGACTTTTGAAATAAGCATAAGAGTCACATAAGGAAAAATCACTTTTATTAGAAATTGGAATATTGAAAACATTAATAATAGATTTTAAGGTCTTCACTAAAGGATAACCTAAGTGGGTGTGCCATTTCGCCAAAGAGACATGTTTTCCAATTAGTGCAATAGGCCTATAATTAATTTTTCCTTGGAGTTGTTAGACTCTATGCTTGTTTTGACCACGCACCAATGTCGCCCCAGTGCACCGATCCTTCACCAAAAAGAAATCATGATGAAATCCAACATAAGCATTTGTTGATTTGCATAATTGGGAGACAAAGATTAAGTTTCGAGAAGCATGAACAACACATAAAATATTTTTCAAAGGTATAGAAGTAAAAGGAGTGGAAAGGGTGGCATGTCCCACATGTATAATTTGCAAACCTGTGCCATCTCCAACTTGGAGTCCATCTGGACCATGATATTCAAAATGCAATGAAAGGTTCACCAAATCTGTGGTCACATGGTTCGTTGCTCCAGAATCCAAAAGCTACTCATCGTTGTTTCTAATGGAGGAAGTGGCAAGATTAGCAATAGGGGCCTATTGCTGCATTCTATAAAAGGGACAATCGCGGGCAAAGTGGCCTAAGTTGTTGCATAATTGGCGGGCCATTGCAGTGGGTCTATTATTTGGCCTATTAGAGCGTCTCCTGTTGTTGTTAAAATTGGGCCTGTTATGAGTTGGCCCACCATGATTTGCTGTGAGTTGGCTAACTAGATTGAGAGATGCGCCCAACAGAGGGTGTTGGAAGCAAACCAAATGATGCCGTCGAAAACGTAGAAAAGGGAAATTGTGAGTGGGAAAAGCAGCATAATGAGCACTCACCGAACATATTCGAGTTTAATTTCTTCTCTGTGAAGACTCTCTTCGTGAGCAACCAGTCGGTCGTGTAGATCATCAAAGGAAAGAGAGGAATCACGAATCTTGAGAGAGGCAACAATTTCGTGAAATTTAGGACCCAATCTATTCAAAATGTAGATGGTCAAGTCATCATCAGTGAAGGGTCTATCCACTGTGCCAAGCTTATCTGCAACAGCTTTGAGGGAGCGCAAATAATCAAGGACCGATCATTCATCCTGCCTCATGTTCTACAATCATTCTTTGAGTGTGATGAATCTAGTTCGAGACCCGTTGGCATAGAGATGGGCCAACGTTTCCCACAATTGTTGAGCAATGGGTGCCGGAGCAATGTATGGCATGATATTCTTCGAGACGAAGGTGATTAAAGCACGGTGTAAAAGCTTATCTTGTCGGGCCCGAAGGCTATATTCTGGCTCTGCAGCCACAGGATAAGGATGAGTCCCATCCAGGTAAACAAGCAATTCATACCCAGCAAGGAGACTAGTGAATTGGGTTTTCCAAGAGAGATAATTTGTAGGTGCTAGCTTCAAGGGAAAAGCAGCGAGATTAAAGGATATGGGTCCACGGGCAACTTGGTTGATGATGGTGGCTGTAGAGTTGGGGTTGCTGGTGGTATCACCAGAGGTTGGGGAGGAATCACCAAAGGCAGAGGCTGTGGAGGTTTTGGCCATTGGGAAACTCATTAGAGAGGATGCTCTGATACCAATGTAAAATATCAGAAGAAGGTAAAGAAAGCTTGATGTTTATTTAACTAATATTTGCTAGTATATATACAAAGTAGTTTTGCCGTATACCCTAACATAAAAGGCAAATACATAAATTCATAAGTCAAAGATACAGATACAGTCAATAATATATACACTTTAATGAGAAAGATTATATTCCTTAATACTCATCACATGCCAAATAAACTTGTAGGTAAGGGTAAAATAGACAACGTCTCTGAAGTTGCTCTTTTTTTTCTTTCTTTTTTTTTTTTTTTCTTTTTTGGAACATAAAGGAATTCTAGGGAGAGGGGATTGGTTCAACAAAGACTAGAATTAACCAAGGTCTTGGAGCTGGTGAAATTGCCTATCCAACGCAGCTAGTTCTGCCCGTATTTGACATAAATATGTTATTATCATATTTTCATATTCATATTTAAAAGTCAAAGCTTGTAGCCTTGTTTAAAATCAGTAAGAGTCAGATCAAGAAGCTGCGAGCCTGCTATCTGCATCTCTTTTCAAAAGCATGGAATCAAAGGCAGTATTCTGGGGAAATTCCCTCCCCGTTCCTTGTGTCCAAGAGCTGGCCAAAGAGCCCTTAACAACAATCCCACCAAGATACATCCGTCCAGACCAACAACAACAACCGATTGTTTCCGATGCAGGTTTGGTGTGGGAAATCCCAGTCATTGATATGCAGAGCTTGCTTTGTGAAGAATCAACGGAAGCTGAATTAACCAAACTCGACTTTGCTTGTAGAGAATGGGGGTTCTCCCAGGTATGTCTTTATATATATATATATACCATACTAGGTAGGGAAAACGAGAGATATGTTACTTTTTGGCAAAGCGATCGTAACAAGGGGTAGGGGTGTTCATATCCGATTCAATCCGATTAAAAACCAAACCAAACCGATATAAAATTGGGTTGATTTGGATTATAAAAATTTAAAACCGATATAATTGGTTTGGTTTGTGGTTTTACTTTCAAACTGCCCGAACCGCCCGATTATAAAA